TCGAGGATTTGCCGACATAGCACGAAAACGATGCACTGGCCTGCACCCGCCAATGCGGATAAGCTCAACGGACAGGGAGTGGAGCTAGACCGACACCTGAAAGTCCATGGAGAGGATCTCCATAAGTTCTGCAAGGAGTGCCCCGACAAGGCCAATGATGTCTCGAACGTCTCCGTCGAATTACTCGAACAGCTCAAGAGATTCCCATCGTTCCACCATCAGTGAGATCGAGCCCGCGCCCCATGCACATGTCTCTCCATCGCGTACACGCGTACACTGGCAGGTCTTCGTAGATCCTGCATGCAGGAAGAGCTCACCCATTATTGCCACTCGAAGGACATCGCGCTCGCAGCCCACTCCTCGCTCAACCCCTACAACTAGTTACTGCTCGCTAATCTGGTAACAGCGCGGGGGCACACGGCGGTGTGAGCTATGCGCGCTCGCTCCAGGCGAACCGCCGCGAGGTCGCGGCACCCATCAAGCTCACCACGCCTGAGCACGTCGCCAAAATTTTTAAGCTAATCGGCATCACCAATGTGGAAATCACAGGGCTTAGCACCATTCGGAAGGACGCGAGCTTCCGCACACGCCACTCCGAGTGGACGGGCTGGGGCGATCTCGGCTTCCTTGGCCGCCAGGTCCTCCGAAAGAATGAAATTTATTTGATATATTGGGAGCTGTGCGCATAGAATAGAGACTATGACTCGTCATCCGGTTCTATGCCGCATAAAACCGGCTCGTGTGTCAGAATGCTGTGGCCAATAGTTTCAGTTCGCCGGAGTTGTGGCAGACGGCCGGGAGCAAAACGAACGCACGTAGTCTTGCTAATGTATTCACCTGAATTCGACCAGCTTCGCCTCGAAAGCTGCCGAAAGATTGGAGAAGGAGCTGTCCGCACTCGAACGACTTGTTCATGACTGCAACGCTATCGTGTAAGATATATGAGTATATTCGTCACAACATGGACATGTATATGCGTAGCACAACAATACGACGAGTGTATACGAGAATTACGGGAGAACGCTATATATGGGCCAAATGACGTCTGTACAACAGCCATCAGTTCTCAGCTCAGTGCAAATATAGAGTGCGGACCGTCTTACCAGATACAACGGCAGCTCAGCCATTCCGAGAAGAACTCGCCAGGGGCACTCGCTCTCGGAAGCGAGCTGAGTGGCAGACCAACGCCCTACTGTATCGCGACGCTGACCGGCAGGCGCATCTGCATCAAGTGAAGTACATGCAGGTACGGCCGGGTCAGCGGTGGCAATGCAAGGCGCGAATGCTCACGCTCGCTCCAGTCCACCGATGGCTGCTGAATGTCTCGAGCAAGCGAGTTGCAAACTGGTAGCTCGAACGTGCACCGAGAGGACGAGGGTTTGAGGCGTACGATAATCTGCAAAAGGGACTTTATTAGGGAGACACGACGAGTGACAGAGAGGGGTGACGCACATGCCCATACAAATAGAGCGTAATCTTGCCGCCGAGGAACAGCGCCATCTTTACAGGAAAAAACCTACTTGTCGGCTCTGGCGTCCGTCCCATAAGAAGGTGTCACAAGTTGGAAGGACAGTTCATCTTGACTCGCATGGACAAAACTTGGAATATAACATAGTCTCAGCCTGTTTCTGGACAGTTCCCTGCAACATCTGTTGACTATGATGCATGGCCTCGGGACAGATACGTCCGCACGCATGGCTTGCATCAGAACTGACGCGGCGCAGAAGGACTTGCCTGCCTGGTGCGAAGATTTCAAGCCAAACAAAGAAAACGGTGAAGAGACCGATATTGAGGGGGGGGGGGGCTGCTCAAGAAATTGTTGCAGGTAATCATGGCAATCTTGGAATCTGCTCTTCGTTTTCAGTTCACTATGCCCGGCGCCCCGCTTGAGAGGGAGGTGGCAGGGTTTCTCGTGCTCTGTGAATGAGGAATGAGAGATATGACAGGAATAGGAGAGTAAAACGCGTTGTCTTGGGCCGTTATCGACTTATCGTGTAGGACCGAACTTCGGTTTTTAGAAGTCCGCCATCCCGCCATCGGTCCACCCGGAGTCTTCCGGGCAAGCTGGAATGGCTGGGAACGAGACTACAATAGTGCATCGAAGCCAATGCAACTTTCCATCTTTCCCTTTCGTTCGACACGACCTTCTTCGCGTGTACGCAGGCAGTGAGTGATAATCTGACTTGGAAGGAAGAAAGTAGACGTCACATTGTAAGTGACAATCTGAGGATAGCGGGATCACGCATGCTCAGAATGAAGACTCGTCGTGCAACAATTCCCTACCGAATTACCTTCCAGACCTTAGGCTTCTTTTTGGCCACGGCGTTGCTGACGTCCATCTTGCATTTCTTATCAAGGGGCCCTCCGGCCGAGAGCACGGCGGCGGAGCCGCAGTTCGCATGTAGTCTTTCAGCCCGCAACAAGTATTGCACGGATACAAACAAGTGAGTAATTGAGTGAGTTGGCCCGCTGAATACTAGTCCTACATAAATGGGCTCTCGCGGGGGCTCTGTGATCATCGCAGAGTTCGCAGCTGGCATGAGTTCGTATTGCGTCCTCCTGTGCATCTTTCACCCGCGTATATCGACCTCCTCCTCTCCCCTAAGAGCATGCAATATCAGCTCATCCACCGAATTTCTCCTCCATGGCGATGTAGCTTATGTGCCACCCAATGCCGCCGCAGATATCAGCGGGGTGCAGCCGGTCGCGGATTGACTGGCCGCACGGGCATGACATGGCAACCGCGCTTATACTCGAGATGAGCTAGGTCATGATATTCGGGGCTGCGTACCAGCGCATCAAGATGTACTGAAGGCTCTATGTGCTTCAGAGATCGATCTCCAGTTTACGATACGAGGGGTTTCCATCGCATCTCGAGGATGTCGGCATGCGCGATACTGGCTCAACACCACGGGTCACTTCTATGTAACCAAGATCACCACGTATCGTTCATTTTGATTTTGACTAGATGAGGCCATGCCGTGATATTTCCGCGCGCGGTGCTCACACCTGCTGCGAGCAAGTGAATCAGTACATATATGTCGTTTGGTTGCGATACGGCGCAGAAGCATGCACGCGATTTCACATATTCAGAAGTACGAGGCTCCCGTGTTCGCCAAATTTCGCAGTTGTCAACTGGTTAGTGTGTCCGCAGGCGGCCTTGGCTAGGAGCCATGTAGCGCCCACATCGCCTGGCCTGCGGTCTGCTCGGAGACACATGGGATCCGTCCATCGACCAACATGTTCGTTACTTACTTTTCCGAGTTGAAGCTAGGGAAGGCGCTGGGCAGATCCTTCTTTTCAACTGAGCCTCGTGCTCGCTCGAGGCTCTCCTCTCTTGTTGGCAGCCGAACTTTGCTTTCATAATCAAGGACCCTGGATTCTGGACATGCGGCGCGGCTGCTCCTCATACGAGGTCACGCCGACCTTGCAATGTCTTTGCTACCAGTGTTCGTGGAGATGAAGCAATGCTGAACGCTTTCGGCATCACATAGGATCCCCGCCCCTGGTGGGAAGCAAGATACGACTGGCAGATATATAGCTCCCTGGTGGGTGCTGAACGTACGGCATCTAGCCTCTCTGCAGACTGTAGTACTTGCATTCGCAGCTTGCACCACAATGTCCTCTGACTCTGCATCCATTGTCTCCCAGATGTACGTGGGATGCTCTAAACCGGGCACGTTTGCTGACGTGTCATATTTAGCACCATCGATAACAGTGTATTGTTCGCGGCTTCAGGTGAAGTACAACGCCATTGAAAGTCCCCAATTTTTTTCACACCGAAGGCCATAGCCTTGGTGTTCTATGATTACTTGATCACGCCCAACCAAGAAGTTCGCACCGTGTGGCAACGGAAGTTCTCCGTTGTCTCTTTTCTCATTGTGTCTACCCGATGGACATTGCTTATTCAGGCGGTTTTCACTCTGATCCAACAAGTATTAGTGGTAAATCATTGTTCTTTCGTGCAGCCGACTCTGACATATACCTGTTGCAGAGGTATATCTCGCATCATCTGATTTTGATAGTGCTGAAAACAATGTCAAATGCAGCTGCGAAGCTATTAATTGGATAGGAACAATCCCCGCACTCGTGGGGTTCGCACAGATTGCCAGTGAGCATCATGCATTAGAGCCATCTCGTGCAAAACTTGACCACTTCCAGTCTTTTCTGCGCTGCGTGTGTGTGCAATCTGGGATCGGAACTTCGTCTTGTTTATAACTGTGCTTGTCCTGAGTCTCCCACCTGTGATCACCAACGCTGTAAGTGCAACACTCTTCCGGAGTTCTGGACTGTCGCCTTTGACACCCACGCCCCTCTAAGTATTCCTCAGCCAATACCTCCTTCGAATATCTTTCTCCGCCACTCGATACGTGTTTACAGTTTCTTAACAACTCCGATGCAGTGAATAATGTGTAAGTCCGTTGCCTTGCCACTCAGGCTGTAATGATAGTACACTTACTCAGCTTAAACTTGTTAGTTGTATGTTTTTACTAACATGTGAACGTAATCGCCGCTGATTTCTGTTCTGCAGTGCTTTTTGTCACCCGCATTCCATTGATTGTTGCGGACTTGCTCGTCCTAGTCTTGACGTGGATGAAGACCTACCGCCAGTACAGAGAAGCAAGAGCATTGAACATCAAGTCTCCGCTCACTACATGCCTTATCCATGACGGTAAGGCCTTCTCAGAGTCCCTGTGCTAGCGGCGAAGGTTCTGACTTATCTGTTCCCACTAGGCACAGTCTACTTCTTGTAAATCTCATCCATTGGGCGCCTTCGTTGTCCCTCCACTGATAATTATTGGCAGTATTCTTCTAGCCTTGAATGTCGCCCAGATCCTATCTTTATATGTCGTGAGCAGTCGGCATTATATTAGCACCATCTGGCATACTAACTATCCACAGAATTTCGTAGTCGCTCTCTCCATATTCACAAGTACAATGGTGAGCTCACTGCCAAAGTTTCCCAGCTGTCTGACATATCTGCTCCGCCCAGCCACAAATTCTGATTTGCCGCTTCATGATGAATTTGCGGCAACTCAACCTCGACAAATCCACTACTCCCGAAGTCGGGACATCTCAGCAGCTGGCTTCATTGCACACGCTGACATTCAATAATGACACAACAACGAGTTTTATGGGGAACATGGGAGAACCACTGGATTACAATCAAGATGGCAGAGGAGACAATGTGCATGTCAGTGAAGAACAGCCTGATCATACACCGCACACCGGAGAAGAGCCAGACATCTAATCAGGCATCCAACAATTGTACAGCAGAACTACCAAGAGTTTCATGACACAGGACATTGTTGATGTGAATTCGCATCCTTGAACTTTTTTTAATACATTTTCTGTTTGATCTAATTTGGTTCAGCCGTATTCGTGTAGAGATGTATATTACGATACGTATTATGCACTTGTCAGTGTACGTTTTGCTTGATTTAAAAGGCGCTGCTCCATTTCTTGTTAATTGGATGCGAAGCACTCGCTCTAGTGGCTTGAGACGCTCTACTGAGACTTTTATGAAGATTGCTCTTGCTAAAAAATTCGAAGACGTACTGACCAAGTACCGGATTACCAAAGCACCAGCCTATACCCGTCGAGGTGAATGGGTTACCAGACAAAAGAGCGAAACTCAATTGACACCTGAAAATCATGGAGGGACCTACAAGGAACACTCTGACGACTTGAAGCCCAAGGTCATTGGTGCCCTCCATCATGTTCCTCGAGCAGCTCCTCAAGGAGGCGACTGTTGTCCTGCTATCAACCAAATCGAGCCCCACTCGCATACACACCTCCATCGCGCACATACGCCTGCTGTCATGTTCTCGTATATCATGCACGTAGGAAGAACTCGCGCTATACTGCAGCATTAAGAGCGTCGAGCTCACGGTTTAATCCCCGCTTGGCTTCTCAGGCTCGCTGATATTCGCTAATCTGGTTGCAGCACGGGTCACCGAGGAGCCTGGTGTGAAGTCTTGCTCAGGCTCCAGGCAAACCGCTCCGACGTCGCGGCACTCGTTAAGCCCACCACGCCTACGCACATCGTCCAACACTTCAGGCATATCGGCCTCACCGACGCGGAGATTACAGAGCCCCATAATATCGAGAAGGACGTTCGATTCCGCACACGATATCATGGGTGTGGAGGCCTCAGCTTCTCTGGTTATCGTGCGTCGAGTCCTCCGCAACCCTGAAGTTTATTTAATGTACTAATAAATGAACACATAGAATAGAGATAATCATACGGGTCCATGCTGTATATAACCGCCTCGCGTGTGGGTGCTGTGGTAGACATTTGGCCAGGAGAAAATGAGCGCGCGCAGTCTTGCCAATGTATCCATCGGAACTCTACCAGCTTCACCTCGAATGTTGCCAG